CAAATATAATCTTCGTACATAACATTCATACTGACAATTAACATTCATATGATATTGGAGAAGTTCAACTAATTAAGAACATCTTGTGAAATCAAACTTTATTAATTAACATATTTATAAACAAAAGGCAAATATAATTTGCGTACATAGAGTTTAGTATTTGAACTACACATAATGACAATTAATATTCATGGTGCATTCCCCAAGGATGTTGAGAAGATGGAGGTTGTTGAGAAGTTCTTCATTATAGTGTAAGGGGTGAAGGCTGACTGGAGGAAGAGGAGGAGGCTGTTAGTAATTTCTTCATCATGCTGGAAATTTCTGTCATGCGTTCCCCAAGGATGTCAATCGTTTCTTCTATTTTTGATGCGAACGAGTTGAAATCACTTTGCAACTAATCTTGTTGTTCCTGCATTTTCCTTTCAATACATGAAAAACTCTCATTTTGAAACCTTTCGATCCGCTCAAATCTGCTTACAATTTCGTCTAACATATGAGAAGACATTTCTTATACATTCTGAGAAGATCCAGGTTCAATACTCGTTCGTCTTCTTTTGTGCACATAGACTCGTCTTTTATTTTTCCCTTCTGGAAGAGGGACACCTTCCTGAACCGTTGCCTCTTCCTCTATTTCATCCATAATCAGAAACCATTCTCCTGCCACATAATTTTTAATCAAACCCATTTTACACAATGTAACATCCCTAACAAATTATTTGCAGAAAATTTAGTCTTATTGGCTTCATCAGAAGGGGTGATCTCTATACCCAACTTCTCACATATTAGCGTAACAAGCATCCCTTAATATATTTCTCTTTTTTCTGCTTAAACCTCTCTCAACTTTTTAATCAATAACTTTGCTGAATTTATTTGCCTCCCTCTTATTGCTGCTTCATGAACAATAAATTCTTAACTGTCATATTTCCATTTGTTTATTTCCTGCCATTAAATGTGAAAGTAAAAAATCTGTGAAAAACTCTCGTGGCAGGATTCTTTAACTTTGTAGATTTACACTTATGTGGATGGTAAACCCCTATTCCAGAAACATCCGTCCAAGCTTGTTTGGAATCTCACGTTTTGGATACTTTATCTAAACCTTCAAAATCAAACCCTATCTAGATTGCTAAATCTTGTGGCATCACTACACAATTCTAATTCTTTAATCTAAAAAAACATTGTATACATTGGAAAATCATCAGTATCTGTCTCCACAACTTCCAAACTACTAAAAAACTCATAAATCAAATGCTTATATCCATCATATCTAATACTCACCAACTGGTCCCATTTCAAATTACAGATCCAACTATTAATCTCATCATCTAAACCCAAACTTGCTATAAATCCTAAATCCAAACTTCTTTGAGGACAAATATTTATTTTCGCCATCTCTTTATATTGCTTTTTATGTTGCACGTCTCCAAATTGGACTCTAGATGACGATGTGCCTCTATGAGGAATGGTTGTATTTTTTGCTCTTACCATTTTTTGCTTTCTTCTAAAACCAACAACTTCCTGGAAAAAACATATCCATAAGTAATTTTACAGATATTAAAAAAAGAAAACTATAATGAAAAATCATGTTTAGTGCCATTCATGTCTAGATTGTAGCATTACTTATAAGAATATCATCACCTTGGAGCAGTTATGAATTATGTGAACTATAAAATGTTCTAAAAAATGATAAGTCACTCCCACAGGTTCAACAAAATGGGTGAGATTCTACAGTGTGAGTAAACACTAATAAAAAATCATGTAATGTAGTTCATAGGTGTCCTTTCTTCTTTCATTAATTTATAAGCTTCAACTGCTGCATTTGGTTCTTCATTTTCAGCATAACCACAAATGAGTGCATTCCAACTCACAGTGTCGTGCTGAGTCATCATTTGGAATACCCAATTTGCCTCAACCATCATACCGAACTTAGCAAACATGCTGACGAATGCATTGCCAACAATCAAATTGTCATGTAAGCCTATACGAGTTACCAAAGCATGAACAATCTTGCCTTGAACAACCAACTCAGGATCTGAATAGGCAGCCAATGCACTTGTAAAAGTCACATAGGTGTATATTTTTTCTAACTAATAATATTAATAATAATCGGTTATGGTTTTCTTGATATTTAGTCTCATCCATCTATTTCTTCTTCACTTGCCCATGTGATTTTAGTTCTCTGTCTCTCTAAATCCAGTGACCAATTTTCCATTTCTTTTCGTTTCTGTAACATTATCTTTTGTTTTTGTTTTTTCTTTTTTAATGGTTTTTGGTTTCGTTGTTTTTGACATGGACATATAGCTAAGAGACATTGACAGTGAAGCAAATCTAAGTCCTCTCTTTTATTTCCCTGTCTTTTCCATATGCAACTGTAAGCTTCAAAAGCCGAACACGACACAACCCAGATCAGATTGAAGCATTGGAAAGCTGATCTCGACGCACTTGGGTGATGGGTTCTTAATACCCGATTTGCCTCAACTATCATACCGAACTTCACAGACCAATGCATTGCCAACAATCAAATTGTCATGTAGCACACTTACTATGCTAATTCCACTAACTGAATTATTTCCTCCCCTAGCACACTTACTCTTCACAAGACAATATCACCTAACCAACCTCCACTAACACATGCTTAGATGCCACTCACACCTCCTGCAATCTTTTATCCTTAGGCCCCTTATACCCCTTCTTACTGATGGAACTCCCTGCCAATTTCACACTCTAACCAGCAAGCAATAGGCAACAAAAATGCAGATAACACAACAAAATTTTTGGGATGCAAATTCACATTTTTACACAACCAATAACCAAGTTCACATCAATACAAATAGCATTATTGTACAACCAATTAACATTATTGCACAACCAATTAAATATGCCTCATTCATCAATACAGATAGCATTATTGCAGAATCAATTAACATATATCCTTCGGAGAGTTTTGATGCAAACTATTAGGGCTTCTACCAAGCAAAACCCAACCAAATAATAACCCAGCCAATTATTAGAGTTTTGAACTTTCTTCAATGAACGATAAGCAATAGAGAAATGAAGTACAAAACAAAAAATACTCACAGGTGGTTTAACTGTGTAGTCTAGCCGGAGTCCAGATGATGAAGACGAAGAAGTGAATAACAGCGGCAGATAATGTGGCTTCAACTGTGCAGATGCAATGTTTCTGCTGTTTTACGTTTTTTGAATTAGTTTTGGAACCCAACAATCCCTAAACCAGCGAATTTTTATTTTAAATTTATGTTTTTATTATTTTTAAGTTAGTATGGACGCTAGTCCATCTCATGCGAACGACTGTCTATATACAAGGGACGGCCGTCCACACTTGATGGACTAACATCCATATTGTGTGCATTTTTATTTTAAAATAATGTGCTATTATTTTTAACAAAGTATGGATGTCAGTCCATCTCATGCGGACAGTCGTCCCTATAAAAGGGACGATCGTCCACACTAGATGGATTGGCGTCCATATTGTGCTTATTTGGACTGTCGTCCATATAATTTGGATGGCCGTCCTTACTAAAAGGATGCCCGTCCCTAGTATTTGGACGGGAGTCCATTGATTTTTAATTTATTTTTAAATATTTTTTCTGGACCCACGTCCATTCCTGAATGAATGGCCATCCAGAAAATATAGACGGTTGTTCATTCACAGAAGTCTTGTATCGTGTCCTATATGGCGACGTTCGAGTAAGGTGTCACATATATCGGTGCAAAATTTCGATACCAACTTTCGGTGTACATAGCATTTTTGAAATAGGAATAAGGGGTATCAAATTTAATGCATATATTGACAACTTCTTTCAAATTATTTTATATTCAATATTAATTTTAATATATTTAAACTAATATTGGATATATTGAATTTTATATTTAATAATTTTGAAAAATATTAAATTTAATATACTTAAAGTTCTTACAAAAATTTAATATATTTAAAATTCCAAGAAAAATATTTTATTAAAAATAATATTATATTTTTAAATTTAAAATTTAACAGATAAGAAAAAAAAATCTGAAAAAAAAAAATAATTTAGCTACGATCTTGAGATTGTAGCTTCTGATCACTTTTTTTTTTTTAAATTTTATTACGTCAATTTTATATTTCAGATTAAGGGTTTAAGTCTTTTGGATAATATTTTAATGACAATGCTACAGTTACCGAAGAATGCGCACCGAATTCATGCACCGAATGACGTAACACCATCCTGTTTTCTTAAAAAAAGAAATTCATAATTAATCGACGGGATGATACTACGTCATTTGATGCACATTCTTCGATAACTGTATTATTTTTTATATTTTAATCAATGAAAATTTTGTAGGGGTAACATAGTGAAGTTATTAGTAAAATATGGATAAATTTGTAATTGCATTGGTCAAACTTGGTCTCCCATCCATTTTAATGGAAAAGACTAACGGCAGAGGATGTTCTTGGTAGTTTCCGTAGTTCTGGGATGCAAAGTGTTAGTCTTTCGAGTTTCGGGCGATGTAATTGTCATTCTTCCTTAGAAAAACTAACTAACATTTTGCAGGTACCTTTGAAGATCAACCGGAGCAGCAAAATATATCCTCAGATGGGGCCTTTCCCTTTGTGGACCGCTTAATTCTTCTGAACATCAATGCAGAATCCCTGCATGAGTCAATATACTGCCAAAAAGGAAAAGGCTCATATGGTTACCTAAAGGAACAAAATTAATTTTATTATGAGCTTACAGAAACAGCTGCACAGGTGAATCTAAAAACTCAACTCCAATCAATTGGAGTGCAAAGATAACTTTCAAAGCATGCCCGACTGCCCACCTAGACAGTGTCCCAGTTGAACAATCAGATTGAAAATAAACTCTCCCTTACAATTTCAGGAAGTAAAATTGTTACAATAATATCATGCTCATCAGTTGGGACATGAACCGAACTCTGCTGGGAAACACCTGAAGAAACACCAACAAACCTTTTTTTTTTTTCTTTTTTGGTGGTGTTCTCTTATAAGTATTTGTTGTGTCAATGACAGATGATAAACATGGTGAACTTGATGCTCTAATTTGATGCAGTCAGGAAATTAGGATTGAATTACCTATCCCATATAAAAATTGCACTGTTTTTTTCTCTGGCTGAGACGCTAAAGATCGCCAAGTTCAATTTCTTTCAAGTTGTTGACAATGTCTTCAACTCTTATAGACATAAACTCAGCATGTTCTTCAAGCTCTTTGAGAACCACGCGTATCTGTTGTTGGACTGCCGCAGACCGCTCTCTTTCATGCTGAAGTTCGTTGTATAGATCCTGGATTTTTTTGTCTTTCTCTTCCTGCACGTTTCATTTTAATACCCATTTATTAATGCAAGATCAATAAGAGTACAGAAAACTGTTAATAAAAAATTTGCGCCAACAAAAGCATTCAAGACATGAATGAATTGGCTTCATAACTACATCTCACCTAGGGCAATAGTTTCCACAGAAAGCACCAATTGTAACAACCATAATCCATGCAGCTTCAATTTGAATCTTGTTCAACATATAAATAAAAGAAAGCAAAAGCATTTGCAATTTTACAATGAATATTCAACCTTAACATGGAAACTCTATATGAGAACATGAAATACCCTGTCTAAAAGATGATAGAGATGTGTATTTTTGCTACCTAGACAATTATTTAAAAATATTAATGGTTCTGGAGAATGAAATAGAAACCTTGCTAAAATGAAGTCAAGTGTACATCAGAAAAAGTTATTGTTTATTTTTAAAACAAAAGAAAGGTCGGAGCCCCACTTATGACAGTGTAAATTCATTAGAAGAGGTGGACAGTACAACTGGAAAGACAACGCAAAGTTAGCAAGGCTGACGTACATAAGAGAGTAACTACAATAACACATGGTAGAAGCCTTCCACCTTAACAGTATACCACAGACAACAGGGTGAATAGGCTACTATAAAAATTCCTAAATAACCCACCATTCCATACTTGTCCTCCTAAAATCATCAACAGAGTAAAACTTCTAAAGAAACCCCACCAATAAAGCAGTGAAGTCATGGATTTTTCGGACTTTAGTCGCTTATCTCACTCAGTCCAAGGAAAGGAAAAAAATTAAGAAATTGTGGCAGAGACTTCAACTAGTGATGGATTATTTTGTGCAGTAAATAGTAACAGAGGATTTGGCAAAACAGCATCCTGGTTGATGCTTGCAGCAGAAAGTGCGATGCAGCACTTGTAGTAGCTGGTTTCCAATAAATCTCGTTCTGCTTCATCAAAACTACAACACCATTCTGCTGACATTTATTTAAGAGGAGCCATAGTGGTACAAGAGGAACTAATGATTTATCTAACGGATTGCAACACAGAACAAAATGGTTGGTGGTGACAGCTGTAGCACTTATGGTATACAAATTATGGCAAAACTTGTGATAGAAGCGGAATGTTGATGCCAGAAGCAGGTCTTGGAAAGTTAGTGATACATAGCTAGGAATAAAATCCTTTCTAGCCAAACAGAAAAGATATGGTAATGTTTTTTCCCCCTTCAAGGAAGCAAGCAAAACTCTATGAAACCGCTGACAGAATATTCACAAGTCTGTTTAGTATTTTCTCTCTGATCCTATTTATGATTAATTTTCAATTTTTCTCTCTATTCTACATTTTAGTGTAAATAATATAATGAAAGTTTTAGTCATAAGCTTGATCAATTTAATCATGAATGCAACAAGACAAACAAGCACAAAGACTTACATAAGAATGCACTCAAATTCAAATTTGCTGCAGGGACAAGGGTAAAAGAAATTGAGGGATATCACCAAAATCCAATGACAGATTGAACACCTCAACAAATTTGTTAAGAACTAAAATAGAAAAGCTCTTAAGCCTGAATAATAATATAACTACTGATGCTAAATTGATCAATTACCACCATTTTTTCCAAGCACCTGAGACATACCTCACTAAGTATATTTACAATTGGCAGTTCCCCAGGAAATTTAGAATGAGTCATTAGTTTGTGGTTGTGCTCTCGAACAAACTTAGTAACGACCCATTTACCTCCATCTCTAGCTGCCAACCTTATCATCGCTTTACACCCTTCTCTCGTAACTGGTCGTGGAGGAAGAATTCTGTCTTTCCTAAGTGTATGCTTTGCAGCACGAAAACCTTCTCTAGAACAAACAAAGTCCCGGCCAATAATAGCCATGTTCTTTAATGAGTGTCGGATTCTATTTGTTCGAATGGTGAAACCTGTATGCTTGGCATATTCATAATAGAAATCCCTTGCATCGTCTAATGATGGAAAAGTCATTCCTGTATAAGGTTCTAAGCTCTCGGAGCTTTCTGCTGTTAAGCCTTCAACTGATGGTATCATCAAATTCAAGTCATCATGAACAACACTCTGTGAATCATAACACTGCAACAGGCCATCTTCCGATGTCTCGTGCTCATCAAAATTTTCGAAAGATTCATTATCTGAGCCACCATCACTGTCTACATAATCATGTCCAGTGGAGCCAGCCATTCTGCGCCTACAATATGGAATTCTATCTGTTAAATATTTCGACTTTCCCTAATTTTATATTTTGCAGTCACATCTGGAAGGCATTCCTCATAAGTTTTAGAAAACAAAGATGAGATAAAATAAACACTATAAAAAAACACACTCCTAAGATGACATTGTTCTCCAATGCACTTTCAATATTTGCAGACTAAATGCAAGACAAAGCACCCAAATAGTTAAGAAATGAGCAAAACTATGGAAAGAAAAAAGAAGAGAAAAAAGTTTCCTTCTTTCTTCCTTATATTCAAGTCTCAAATCCACCAAGCATGACAAGACTTTTCAAATCATCAATTCTAATTGCCATAGTAATTGTAGCCCTGAGGCTCAGTTACAATAATTAAAAGAATTTTTCCCACTTTGGTTCCTTTTTTATTCTGACAATTTTTTCATTCAAAAAGGTCAGTTATGGAGAGAATATCATGTCTTTCCGGTGAGATTCATTAAATTGTCTTCCTATTGGATTGCCAACATCCCTTACAAACATGAAAGTTTGCCATTCTTGTAAATTCCATATTTAAAGACTATTTATAAAATCACCTGATATGCTTTTTTTGCAAACAAAACAATCCATGGCACCCTACTTCCGTACATGAACTAATGAAAAATTCATTGGTAAGCTTAATACCGAACACTACCCTATAAATTTCTCAGTATGAAAATAACTGAATGAGCCTATGCAAGTTGTAGTATAAATTGAACTAAATTTCTCATTTTCAAGAGAGCACAAACACCCAAAATTTTCTATCTAATATTTTGCTAAAAATTTTCAGCCACCAAGCAGAGATACAAAACAAAAAATGATAGTCAGACCAACATAGTTGAACAATCAGTGAATAGCCAATATTGAAATTTCACTTCATTACCAAACCAATAGTGTTAAATATAACATAATGCCTTTACGCAAGACTCATAGATATACACCTTTCTATATTAAAATGTTGGCATTATATATAATGCAACTCATACTTGAAGGTGAATGTTACACAATTATAAACATTTCCAACTAGTTCAAATTGGGAAATGCAACTGGAACAGTACCGAGCATTGAATTCACTTAAATAAACATTATGCACTTCAATCAAAGCCAATCTTACCATTACCTAACCATTCCCATAGTACGAGACACCTCTAGATTACAAGCTCATAAGTATCATTAGATTAAAATATAATCTGGTCATGACTCCAATACCAACATATTATAGAATGGTTGATAATGTAACCGAATAATGTTACTGGATCGATTACATTACTGGCCAATGATTATCATTGAATTAAAATCCGAATTACTGTAATCAATGCAAGACTTCATTACCAAGGTATTTACCATTAACAGTGCTGATTAAGTTACTACTGTCAGTAATTATCATTGTCATTGTCATTGCCATTGGATTAAATTCTAAATTACATTCAAATTGTTCCAGACTCTCCTACGGAGATATATACCAGCACGGAAAAAGATAACAGTATCAGACCGGTAACTTAACTTGAGCATTCCGGTAGCGTTACCGGAAGAAACAACAAAATGAGCATTATTTCTAGTCCATAAAAAATAATTCAAATTTCTTTACAAAAAAAAAAAAAAAAACCGTTTCATTAATCACTCAATACAGTCTCTCCTTAGATTCTAAAACGAGAAATGGATAGTAAATTCCGAAAAAGAAAAAAATAAATAAAAAGAGGAACTTTACTTGTGTTTTGAATTGCGAGTGATCTCAGCTTTGAGCTCCTTCTCGTATTGAAGCAGTTGAGTTTGAGTCAAGTGGCTTTCAGCTTTGGTTGGTAAGAAAAGACATATGGCAGATCTCGAGGTGAAATGAATGGCCCAGACCGTACGGATACTGTGTACGCGTGGACCAACAACATTGATGCACGCTGGTGTGAAATCGGCCAGGCCGTTTGCGGGAGCTCTCGAGCAAATATCGTTAAATTAATTGTAATTGGAAAAATTACATGGTGGCCCTGAGGTTTGGCTTAAATATTGGACCCCATAGAAGTTTTTTTAGTAACAGTTTAGTCCCCAGCATCAGTCTATCAGTAAGAGAAAGTACCCTTACACCATTTAATAGAAGTTTATCAACCGATAGGAACTAAGTTACTAAAATGTCTAAAAAATTCTATTAGACCCAAATTACTTAAGTTAAACCTCAGGGATGAAATTGTAATTATCAATTTAATTGTAGAGATATTTATTGTGACCTAAGTGATCATCTAATTTTATTCCAACTTACTATTTTTAGAGCGTATTAGATATCTAAGGATTGTGAATGAAAATAAATGATCACTTAGAATACATTGACAATAATCTTATGGTTTGTAATACATCACGTACCCTTATTAAGGGGGTTTTTAAATAATCTGAAGTCATGATATGGTCTGAAAACAATTAGTATGGCCACTTAACATGTGTTATCATTTGATTGTTTTTATGTTTAGGATGTGAGTAACATCATAAAATTGAAGGTATAAAATGGAGAATGAAAGAAAAAAAAAATTATTAGGATTTCCGTAAAGACGAATAGGGTCAATAATTCGCATATCAAAAATTGGAAATCTGGGGTTAAGAGTTAATTTTCCATATCAGGAGGTGCTTATGGTTATGTCCAGAAACATTCTAGGTTCGACTGTGATTTTGCCCTTCTATTTATATTTACATTGAGGGTCTGAACTCTCAAATATTCTCTCCTCTAAGCTTCTTCATCAAAACTTTAGGCAATGGCAGAACTGAAAACCCTTTGAGAAAAGGTTTGCCACATCTACATTTTTACACAAAATTAATTTTAAAATGATATTATCAGCAATTACAAAGATTTTAATTTAAAAAAATGGATTTAATGAGAATAATAATTTACAAGTAAAAATCTGCAATTCAACAACCATCTAAGCCATGCAGAGCCTTGTTTGAACTATAGCCATTGATCTTCCAAGGAAACATGATCCCCTCTGGGAACCTTAAATTTTATCCAACATAAATGGTTACTGAATAATAAGTGAGATTATACTCGATCAGTCTTTGGGAAACAAGGAACACAAGAGATTGAAGATATGGTACAAGATGAGCCAACTCTATTCGCTGTCTGAGTCCTCAGACAGTTCCTCAATTTCTCTGATGCTCTGCACTATATCAGCAACTTTATTTGATATGTGTTCTGTGTGATTCTCTAAATCTTTCAGAATCGTATTTAATTGCTCTTCGTATGCAGCACATCGTCGTTTACATTTCTGCCTCTCGTTGTATAACTCAAGTGATAGTTCACGGATTCTCTTATCCTTCTCATCCTACAGAAATTTTAGATTTGGGGTGAATCCTTGGATCATTACAACAATTCACTGTAATCATTAAAAGAATGATAAAAATGAAATATGTAAAAGTTCAGAAACCAATCAAGCAATGTCAATGAATCAAGAAAATGCTATGATGTTCATATAACCACAACGTCAACTCCCAGGAATATAAATTGTGGTGCAAGTAAATCACCTCACTGAAAACTATTAATTACTTTGTGCTCCATGACAATTGCATAAATACTTAGAAAAAACTATAAGCATTGTATAAAATTAAAAAAAGAGGAGATACAGCTTTAGAGGAAGTGTCCACAAAGTATAGAAAAACTAAGGGCTGAGAAACCATTCTATATAAACTGTAGTATGCTAACCTTGCCCCAAGATAAAATGAACAACAAATTATATAAATCAACCCAATAGCCCCTCCTCATTATGTTCTTTTCTTTTGATAAGAAACTATGAAAATTGTATCAACACAATAGTCCCTTCCAGAGTCAGGTGAAAAAAGAAAAAGAAGATTCCTAAAGTGCCTTAGCAATTGAAGCCCAATGTCAATAGAAAAGGCAAGTTTTATCCCACAACTCCATGATGTTTTATTCTCTTCTCTCACCAAAACAAAAATTATTATTATTGCTTTCCAGCTAAATCACCCAAAGAATAGTTGAAACAATAAATCTCCATAGTTGGCTTTCTAGCCTCTTACAAAGGTAGTGACATAGAAGCTAAGATATCATGGGCACTGTGGGTTTAAATGTTACACCAGTAAGGATTTCGGCAAGTTTATATAAGAACTAACCTAAACCCTTGCACCAATAGATTTACGCTGGATTTTAATAACAAAGCACTATCACCAGATCAACTTTAAAAGCACACTGAAACAATTTGCATCTTTTAGAATTGGATTCTCTATACATGTACAAAACATTACGGTTTTAGTTACAGCGTCAACAAACTTTGCAATTCCAATGACTTCAATAAGATCACAGTTCTTCCACATTCAAAAACATGGATTATCTCATCAACTGCAATAATGTCGAAAGAATTTGGTCAAATATAATAATCATTAAAATCATTCACAAACATACCTCACTAACGAAGAGTTTCCCAGATCCACGCCATGGAACTTTACTAGGACTCATTAGTTTATGATTGTGCTCTTCAACAAATTTGGTTATAACCCATTTTACTCCGTCTCTTAAAGCTACCCTTACCATTGCTTGACAGCCCTCTCGGGTGATAGGTGGTGGGGGGAGAACTCTGTCTTTTCTGTACACATACTTTTTTGCACGAAAACCCTCTCTTGAGCAAACAAAATCTTGACCAATAACTTGATTGTTTACTCGTGATCGACGATTGTGGTGTATACGTATGGTAAAACCAGTGCGCCTGCCATAGGCAGTGTAAAATTCTTTAGCTTCATCCCTTGAGTTGAATTCCATGCCTATATAGGGCTCTAATGTTTCTCTAATTACAGAGAGAGGTTCATCAGACTGTTCTGTTATCTTCTTATCTTCAGCCACAAAAAAATCAAAATTCTTTGAAAAATCATCTTCTATTGTTCCATCGTCATAGCTTTCAGCTTGCACATCAAGGTCACTCTCATCTGAATCAAATCCAAGACTAGATTGGTTATCCATATGCTCGTACTGCACAAATTACAAGTCATTCTCCATGAATCATCATTGTGACACCCAAAAAATTAGGAAGGGGAGGGGGAATCCAACCTAGGTAAAAATAATATCAGTAATTTTGTAAAGCTGCATTTATTATTGCTTCATTATCTATGGTCCACTATGTACCTGCAATTTTGGCATAGCAAGGAAATTAAGGCATGAGGCTGGAGGTTAGACAGGGGCAGTACTTAATTGATGTTTTCATTACAAATTCTACAGTACCATTATGCCTTGAAGAAAACGACACCAAGGAAGAAATTGTATGTTTATTGAACAAAAATAACAGATCAATGATTAAAATAAACAAATAAAACGAGGAACATTCTTCAAATTTTCAATTGATGCGAATTACACAATTCAGGAAACTTAGACCAAGGTTTAGAAAATAGACACAAGGAAAAGACTCTGATAACACTAATATGATAGCAGCTCCTATAAAGGTGAGACAGTAAAATGGCAATAAGGGCAAGTTTTCAAGCACCACCAATCTAAGGTGTTCTTTTACTATTTTCACATGACACGATCATAAATGGATAACAACACATCCAAGTAAGAAGAAAGGTAAACCGTTTTTCATCTTCAACAATTTCATTAACTTTGTTATGGTTTCTCATAAAAGTTCCATATGCGAGTACTTGTTTAGAGCAATCAAAACCACGCTTATAAAATATCAATGATGTGGGCACTAGCTAGTTCAATTAGTTGACTCTCTCGGGTTGTACAAGAGGTTTTGGAATTGAACCTTGCTCACACCAGAGTGGGGAGGGGTTAAAAAACCTAAAGAAAAACCACTAATTTCCAATCCAGAAAGTTGACTGCCAATCAATGAAGTTACATCCCAAACTGCGGACTCTTCACGAAGAAGTTAAAACAAAATGAACTGAAAGACATTGACCTAAATCAAAATGCGACCAACAACTCTTTCACAAAAAAATGAATGGCACCATCACTGTCAATCAATTTCCACAACATTTTTCTAATATTCCAACTCTATCAAATGCTTTTCTACAATCCCTAGCTTAAAAGCCAATGCCTAATCCATCTTTCTCATTTCTACAACAAACTTCATTAATCAAGAATCAACAAATAGCTCTTCTAACTTACATGTTTAACACGCAATACAAATCAATTTTTCCCAAAAAAAATCCACATTGACTGAGCCATACTTGGCTACCAGCTCAGTTACCGGGCCAGTTTAAGCTCATCAACAATCATCCAAGAACTAAAACTTACTCGATAACGCGTTACCGGATCAGTAAGGTAGCCAATCCACAGCACCATAAGTTTACGAAGACTCTAATCATTAAGTTAAGAATCAATCGCGTACAGTTTTATTAAGAGTAATCTAAGAAATTTATCACAATTTTTAATAATTACCGGCACCGTAACGTTACCGGCTGTTTAACGTGACAGGGAGGAGATTTGATTAGCTTACCGTACAAAAGACGGAGCGGGAAGAAACCCTAGGCGATGATCGATCTCGGCAAAGTTTGTTTGATTTGATTTTGAATGGTATTTCCTATTTTGTTTTCCTTGGGAGGATCCAACGGACGAGGATGTTTGATGGGTTTGATGCTGTTTTTGCAAAGACTAAAGGGTATCGATCGAGAGAGTAATTACATTTAACCCCTTTTAAAAGCTTGACCAACAAGTCCACTTAATTTTAAAATCTAGCAAAAACAACCCTGCAGATGAAAATTATGTCAAAGAATTGGTATCTTTGTACATTGAACGAAAATTGTAGCTAGATTCCGTAAGTCTTGTTTCGGCATGTTTTTCTATTTTTTTTTTTTTNCCACAACATTTTTCTAATATTCCAACTCTATCAAATGCTTTTCTACAATCCCTAGCTTAAAGGCCAATGCCTAATCCATCTTTCTCATTTCTACCGCAAACTTCATTAATCAAGAATCAACAAATAGCTCTTCTAACTTACATGTTTAACACGCAATACAAATCAATTTTTCCCCAAAAAAAATCCACATTGACTGAGCCATACTTGGCTACCAGCTCAGTTACCGGGCCAGTTTAAGCTCATCAACAATCATCCAAGAACTAAAACTTACTCGATAACGCGTTACCGGATCAGTAAGGTAGCCAATCCACAGCACCATAAGTTTACGAAGACTCTAATCATTAAGTTAAGAATCAATCGCGTACAGTTTTATTAAGAGTAATCTAAGAAATTTATCACAATTTTTAATAATTACCGGCACCGTAACGTTACCGGCTGTTTAACGTGACAGGGAGGAGATTTGATTAGCTTACCGTACAAAAGACGGAGCGGGAAGAAACCCTAGGCGATGATCGATCTCGGCAAAGTTTGTTTGATTTGATTTTGAATGGTATTTCCTATTTTGTTTTCGTTGGTAGGATCCAACGGCCGAGGATGTTTGATGGGTTTGATGCTGTTTTTGCAAAGACTAAAGTGTATCAATCCAGAGAGTAATTACATTTAACCCCTTTTGAATGCCTCCGTACAAGTCCGCTTAATTTTAAAATCTAGCAAAAACAACCCTGCAGATGAAAATTATTTCAAAGAATTGGTGTCTTTGTACATTGAACGAAAATTGTAGCTAGATACGGTAAGTCTTGTTTCGGCATGTTTTTCTATTTTTTTTTTTTTAATTTTTAATACTTAAAATGTGTTTTTTTTTTTTCAAACATTCCACCAAAAATAATTGTAATTTGTATTTGTATTTTTAATATAAATATAAGATTATTTAAGTATTTTAATATAGTAGTTTAAAAATAGAACTCAAGGAGTTCGAATCCCCATGACTAATAATAAGAGATAACTATTAGAGATTTATTTAAATATTAACTTTAAGACCCTGAAGAACTAGTTGAAGTGTATACAACTGACCCGAAACCCAAGTACCAAAAAAAAAAAAAAAGAAAAAAAAAAAAAAAAACTTCAGTCGGACTGCAACACAGATGGCATACAGGTTACATTAACAAGCCAGGAGGGCACTCACCCAGTCATCCTATCGAAGACTTTATTCACTTTTAATGCTATCCAGAAAACGTTTTAGACATTATCTAAATCTAAAACACATAACATACTGATTTTGATGCTTTATTTGAAAAACTAAATAGGAATTATACATTTTTTATTATTTTTCTAGAAGTGTTAGCTTCAAAACAACTTTAACATGTTTTCAGCATTTCCTAAAAACCATTACTTGTTGAATACAAAAGACTTTTTTCTTATCCAAAATGCTAATATCACAAGCATTTGTGCACTAAAAACACTGTTGCAAGATGAGTTTTGTTCAATATACAAAGCAACTGACATTTTATACTGGTAAGGATAATTCTATGATACTGGATAGTACGATTATTGCGTATATTTGAAACATTGGATGACGATAAGTTGTTATTGAGAAAACCAATGGTGTAAACTCATTGGTGTGAAACTGTACCAATATCATAGTATGACTCGATGACAAATGATGCTAACTCTAGTCAGAGTATGAACTTTCCTGCTCTTCAGATTCAAGTTCTCTCATATTGTTAGTCACTACATTAACCTTCAAAGCTAGCCGCTGAGTGTGTTCCTCAATGTATCTTAAAACCAGACATAATTGTTCTTGATAAGCTGCGGATTTCTTTTTCTCACGATGCAGCTCTGTTGATAGTTCTCGGATTTTAAGATCCTTCTCGTCCTGCATACAAAATTGAGAACATAAGTGATTGTAAACTGTTATAAGAATCGTCAAACTACAAAAATATAAGCCTTACTGCATATAGTAAAATGAGGGTACATGGAAGAAGTTCGGGCACAAAACTCAAGTTTTCAATAAAAAACAATGAGTCTGGGCGAAAAGGCATGCGCAGAGAATGATTCTGGTCATCCAAAAATGTTTTTTAGGAATGAAAAATGGTAGGTCAGGGAATTTCTATCATTGAAAATGTACATGAAAAATTAACTATGAGTCACAGATGTGCACAGTAACTTTATGCAACATATATATAGTATCTAGTGAGTGCAAGCCCAACACTGCTAAAGAAGAGTTTTTTTGGTTCCAGCTATAACTTTTCAATTTAATTATCACTGGATTCAGATGTATTTCTAATCATACTTTGTACTATGAAAAAGAATAATATAAAGCGAACACAAACATAAGAAGGTCTTTTTCAGGATGAACCTACTATGCACTCAATATTCCTAGCAAGCTACACAATGCCTTCGTGAAGTTGGCATTGCGATCATGGACTTTGCAAGGATGTAGACTAATTTTTGAGCCACATACAAACAACAATTCATAAAGCAGAGTATCTTTGTTTCAAACCTCAAATATTTCGAAGTAAACTCAAGATAGGCTCACATAAACTCTTGGTCACAAAAATTCCTAATTTACCTTGTGATAAATCATGTCCTAGCAATTTTTTACTAGCAATTACTGAAACCCTCTCCTTAAAGGTCGCTTCAACACATTCACTAGCACAACCCTAAATACAGGCATCATTACTGATATTTTACCCAGTGCCAGTCAATGGTTAAATAGGTCAGCCTACCAACATACAAATAAACTATATTAGATTGGATTGACTTCAAGAATTTCTAAAAAACTATGAGTTAATCTAATTTCAAACCCAAAGCTGAGAATGTCAGTACTTCTTGATAGTGGCAGCCAGTGACCCTTTCTTCCTTTACTCTCTAATCTCTTCTTACATCCAGCAGTGGAGGTAGAGACAGAGTCGGATGCATTTGAACCAGTGTACATGCTGTTGAAGAAGCAATCATTGCCTTCTGAAGGAGTTAAGAAAGCAGGGTCCCCAGGAGTAGCAAATTAGTCTTATCAACCTCAACTCCACACTGATCACGTAAGAAGTAGCCACTTTCAGGCTTACCTTTTGCTTATTTTGCCATTTTTGAAAGAAAACCTTCCCACTTATATTTTTAAAATGGCAATGATAGATATTTACTACAGATGAAGGTCAGAAACTTAATCCCAATTCAAATTTTGTTCTTCAGCTCCATTATATCCTAGTATAGTTTCTACAGGTCTCGCCACTAGAATAAGCATACCCTTAGCTTTTCTTCGATTATGCAAGTCTAAAGAAACAATACACATGCAAAGCATCATATGGTAAAAACCAGAATCCTCTACCATACCTCAGAGAATGCAATTCTGTGTGATCGTCTAGGTGGTATTTTGCCTGGATTCAGCTCATGATTATGTTCTTTCACAAAACCATAGATAACCCACTTTCCACCATCCTTTACAGCTATCCTCAGCATGGCATTGCATCCCTCTCTAGTGGCAGGCCGTGATGGGAAAACTCTACTCTCTCTATTTGAATATTTTTCCACACGAAAACCCTCTTTAGAGCAAACATACTCTCGACCAATTATTGAGTTATCTTTAAGAGACCGACGTGTACGGTTATTCCGGATTGTAAACCCCATACGCCGTCCATACATCTCGTAGAACTCCCTAGCCTCCTCTGCCGATTCAAACTCCATTCCAATAAATGGTTCTGTAGGTTCTGACATCAACGGAAAACTGGGATCAGATGACTGAATAAAACAATCATTCCCATCCAAATTTCCCGAAAGCTCATCATCTCCAGTTTCGTGGCCATCAAAAGTTTCTGCTAACCATCGCCTATAACTTCTGTTTGAACTAAATTCTTGGCCAGAGGTGCTTGCCATTACAAACCTATCACAATAATCAAAAAATTGAAAAACACAAAGTCCTAAATATAATCACAAAACAGAGCAACAAACCTATAGAAAATGATACAAATATACTGTCAGCATACCACACAACATTTCTTCTTCATGCAATTCACATCAATTTGAAGCAATTTGATTACACATAATTGGGTTAAAATGTGAACACTTAAAGTTTCCTTTTTTAGCTAATTAAGCTTAAAGCCTTATGTGGGTTCCTCTCTAATCAATCAACGCTCACTTAACTAAGCTCAATTCATCAATTCAATGATAAATTCCCACAAAAAGGAGAAACCCACCAAGCAAAAACATACAAACAACAAAAAGAACAGATCAGATCATGAGTAAGTTCATACCAGAGCTCAAATTCTAGGCAAAATGTGAAGCATTTAGGAGGAAGTGATCAAGAAACAGAACTTTTTAAGCGCCCAAAACCCTAGCTCAAGAATGAAAATTTGAACCCAGATAGCATTGGAATTTGTAAATTCAAGGGGCCTCTTGTTTAGCATCCAATCAATAAGAATTTGAGGAGATTTTGTTATTATGTTTTGCATCGTTTTGCGCCATTTTCAGTTTCAGCTTCCAGCTATGGAAACGGACGAAGAAGAAGAGGGAGTGTAAGTGTCAGAGCATTCGCTCTGTTTTTGCTTTCTTCGTTTTTGTAAAATGTTTTCAAAATGTTTTACTGTGAGTTATTTAATAAAGCGTTAATTACAATTTCCCCGTTAGGCATTAGTAAATAATATTTTTTAGGTTTTTAATTAGACTGATTTGGATGTGTTTTAAAACTATTACTTATAAGATTTTTCATGCATTGGTTTTGAGTCTTTTGACTAACTCAAAAACCCCTTAGAATCAATAAAGTGTATTTTTGAAGGGTTAATAAAACACCTTATATCGGGGTGTTTTGGTTGGTTTTAAAATTTTATTCCACAAATACCATATCCACTATAAAACTATCTCAATTATATAAAAAAAAATAAAAATTTAACCATATTATGCACGTCTTCAACTATATTAAATATAAAATAATTTTAAGCAAGTATAAAAAAAATTATTAAAATCTCATTTCTATATACTTTCTTGGAGAAGTTGAGTTACAATTTTTCAATCATCCCACATACTACAAAGAACGGTGAAGAAGAATAAGAAGATTTTATCACATTTAAAGTTATAAAATACTAATAAGTAGAAAACAAATAAAGAACTTTTACCTTATAATTGAAAAAACAAAACTCCCAAGTACTGGTTAGAGTTGGGGTATTTTTATGGGTATATATATAAATTTATAATTTTAAAAAACTGTTAGAACCGCTAAAAAATAAACTTCCAAGCATAGGTTGAGTGTTTTAAAAACTGTTATTAAAAACCCTTAAAAACTAGGGGTGTTCAAAAGAACTGGTTGGAACCGGAATCGGCGGGTATCCTGGGTTTGATTCCGGTTCCTACCCAGAACCAATCGTCAATTGGTAGGTTCCGGTTCTAAATTTTTGGAACTGTTACTGTGCAGTTTCGGTTCCGGTTCCTATAGTTAGGAACTGAAACTAGGAACCAGGAACTGAGGCTAATATAAAATAAAATTAAATATTAGGGGGGGGGGTTAATAAAAACTTTTGTAGAAAAAGTAACGTGAATACATTTATATTTATACTTCATAACATTTAAAGTAAATTGGTTTGACTTTAAAGAATCTACCTTTACAAAGTAATGGAGTTTGTAATTTTGAATTTGTAATTTGTAATTTTATTTTTGTTAACAAGTGCCAAGTGGGGGGGTATTGTAAGTTTTTAAGGGTTTTTTTGTCATTTTAAAAACTTTGGGGGGTCATTGAATTTTATAGGGTACCCAGAACCAGAACCGGAACCATTGTTATAGGTTCTGGTTTTGGGTACCTAGGAACCGGAACCGTCGGTTCCAGTTCCGATTCCAAATTTTAAGGAACCGTCGGTTTCGGTTCCTTCAAAAAGTGCAGGGTACCTGGAACCGAACACCGCTACTAAAAACTGTTACGATAGTTTACTCTCAAAATTATTATAGTAATTTACCCTCATAACCACTACCATGAAACTCCCAAGCCAACCTTAGGTATCCTAAAAATAATTTTCTCCCTGTTGTTAGTATTCCGTCAGGAGTTTACCATATATATTTTAACGGGTCAAGTGTAAAATGCATTAACCAGATGATGAAAACATTAACAAAACAGTACCTATAAAGAGTTAAATTGTCATTTCAGATACCTGAAGGCTGAAGAGGAAATTTGTCCTGTTGTTAGTATTCCTTTAAGAGTTTACTGTTTATTTTTTAAACGGTTTAAGTGTAAAATACAATAGTCTATAATAAATAAAGAACAAATATTATTATAAGGGCTAACTTGTTATTTCGAATACCTGAATGGAAAATTTGTTAGGAGAAATTCTAATGAACCCTCTAATAAATATTATAAAGAAACTTTTTTTTCTTATTTTATTATTTTAGTTTTGTTTTTTTTCTGAGTTTTTTATTTATGAGAATATTAATTAATAATGATAAAATCATAATTATCATTCTATTAACTTGATTGCATTTGATCGCTTGTTACCAACAGCAACAAATAAAAAAATGGAATAGTTCACATGATTTTGTATTTTACATTGATGAGAACAAAAATTGTGTGATTTACAATGAAAATAGATCGAAAATGGTTCAATTTCTACGTTGCAAATGAAGCTAATTCTTGATTTTGAATATTTTTATCTATATCAAAATTTTGTTATACATTCAAGCTAAAGGCCTTCGCAAAAAACAAATATATCAAAAATTCTGTTACAGATTTTCAATGATCTAAAGAACGCAAACTTATAAGTTAGAGACCCATTTTTTTTTAAGTTGTATTTAAAAAGATATTTATATGAACATTATTACATATACAAACTCTTATATTCAAATTAATGTGACACAACTGTTTTATAGCCACATCATTTATCTATTTAAAAGAGTATTTATAAAATTCACTTTATGACACGTCAGTTTGTATATAATAATTTGTACATTTAACATTAATCTATTTATATCAATTGAAAATCGTACTTCCATAACTCTTCAAAGCTTTAAGAAGTAGAAGTTTTTTATGACATAGGATCATTTTAAAGATGAAAACATTATGGTTTTACAATTTTATCCTATCTTAAATAGATTTACCCTAAAACAAATTTGAGGATTTTGTTCCATTCGACGATAAATATATTTATTAAAAAATAATTAAATAAATAATATATATAAATTTGTATTTTTATAGTTTGATAATTTCCTCATTATTTCAAGATTGTATAATTTCTTATTTAGTTTTGGGAGAACGACACTGTCCCACCCAAGGTTTCACGAAACAATCTTTCCCACCCGCCAAGTTTCAAAACGACACTTTCCCACCCACTGTCCGTTACCCTTAACTGAAGAAGGATAAAACGATAAATTTATAAAACAGTCACAGGCTAATGAAGTCATTTCATCCTCTATATATAAAATTAAAGAAACCCTACCCTTCTTCCTCACCCCTCCACACTCCATCGCCGTTCTCCACCCCTCCCCACACCCCTATCCACTCCACGGCCCCAAAATTGCACTTGGCTGTCATCTGCTCCATGCGATTCAGCTTGAATTGCATTCGACCAGGTGTGATTTTGGCCTTCACACCCCACCGTCGTTCTCCACCCTACCGTCCCAAAATTGCAACTGACACTGTTAGGTGGGAAAATTCGTTTGCAACGAAAATCTCTGAGAAAACGGTTGCGCTAACACTAATTCTAGCAGCTCAATCCCTTGCTTGTTTGTTAATCCTTTTGATTGTTGTAATTCCTTTTTTTTTTTTTTTTTTTTTAAAGTGGAGAAGCTTTTGTAATAGTAATTGCTCATGCTTTGTTCTTGTTTATCTCAATACCTAGGTGGCGCACTAGTAATCCTAAAAAATTCCCGGCCCTTACTCCACTTCGAATGCACACTTGATTGAATGCGTTCATTTTCAAACCATCTTATCGCATTTGAAAGTTTTCCTTAATTCGGCCAAGTGTTGTTCATCTTCAAGCTGCCACATTCTAAGAATTTTATGTTGAACTACCTATCTTGTTCACCTTAGCCTTACCGTGAAAAAAGAACTCTATCATTGTAGCATATATAATCTACGCGGCTATCTTTCTTCAAGTGAGAGATAGGGTCGAAAAACCATCGCCCAAAGGTGCTTTTACGAAAGCCAGTCATGGTGGCTAAGAACCTTTACTCATTTGTGATGTGAAGTAAAGCCGCATTTTTATTTTCCAATTTGTTTGTGTTCAGTGAGTAAATCGAGATTCTCTTAAGAGAGAAGGTAGCTCTTTGTCATGAGTTGGACTTTAACCAATACTTTAGGCATTCAACCCGCGAACTTCCTTTATTTGAACGTGATTTTTTGTTACCCTGTTTCCCTTAAACCAAATGTTTATCTTTTGTGTGTTGTTGAATAATGGTTTGTGTGTTGTTGATTGGTGTTTGGGTGGTTGAATTTAGGTTGTTTGGTGATCCATTTTTTACCGGATTCGTGTTTGCTTGATAGTGCATTACCAAAAAAAAAAAAAAGTGTTTGCTTGATGGTGGATTTTTGGCCGGATTTATGTTATTTTGTGATGGATTTGGGTTGAGCATCCATGGGTTATTTGGTGGCCTCGTTGGTGATTTGCAACAGCGGCAGTCGACAGCATAGCACAGGTCCTATTCCTTGTGATTCTGGCCAACTATTTTTGTTCAGATTTAAATTTTTTTTTTTTTTTCAAGCCAAAGATTTGGATTTAGATTCAAATAATAAAGGGTGTTTTCGTCTTTACAATAGTTATACCATGCCAGTTAACATAATTTACTAACGGGTCTTAACGGTGGGTGGGAAAGTGTAGTTTTGAAACTTGAAGGGCGGAAAAGTGTCGTTCCGTCAAACCTCAGGTGGTTTAGTTTTAGATCAGAATAGAGTTCGTTAATTTCTTTATGAATTTTACAATATAATTATTGAAGCAATCTCATCATTCCCCAAGTCTAGATTGGTAATTATTAACTGATAAATCATATTCATCAATGACTTTAGTTTCTTAATTAATTCATTGTGCCCCCTTTAAGAAAGTAACTATAATATTTTTATTTATTTCAAGTTTGAAATAAACGTAAGTTTATGATTCTCCTTTTAAATGACAAAAACAAAGTATATCATCTATTATTATACATTCCAATTTTATAATCAAATTGTTGATAGAGGTATTTGAGGATGAAGAATTCGCTATTGACATTAGTCTTTATAATCAAATTGTTGATAGAGGTATTTGAGGATGAAGAATTCTCTATTGACATTAGTCTTTAGTTCTGATACCATGTTAGACTTTGAAAGAGAAATGAAGAATTCCATAGAAAATTAAGAGAAAGACAAATTCGATTTTGCTTCTTATTTTTATTAACAAACAATCAGAATAATTATGTTTTTATACACTTGAGAAGAAGGAAGAACAGTAGAGTAGAAAATGACAGCACTTTGGGTGCTGAATAGAGTGTAAAAACGACGGCACTTTGGTGAGCTAATAATAGTGACAAAGCAGTGGCAAAATGGCACCACTTTTGAGTGTTGTCAATACTTCCCCTTTGAGCTGGACTGCTCCTGCTTTAGACA